GCTAGAGGGTCTTATGCTCAGTCAATTATGCCAGGCAGAGAAAGACAAGCATCAAATGATTTCACTCATCTGCGGACCATAAGAACAGAAAAAACTGAATGCACAAAACAGCAGCCGACTCACAGAACCCGAGAATGAACTAACAAATACCAAAGGGAAAGGGACTGGGAAGGGTTGGTGGGAAGGGAGGGAGAAGGGGAATAAGGGGCATTAGGATCAGCATACATGATGTAGGCGGGGAGCACGGGGAGGGCACTATAGCACACAGAGGAGACAAGTAGTGACTCTATAGCATCTCCCTGCGCGGATGGACAGTGACCGTAATGGGGTTTGAGGGGGGGACTTGATAATGGGGGGAGTCTAGTAACCACAATGTTGCTCATGTAACTGTACACTAATGATCCCCCAAAAAATTAAAAATTAAAAGAATAGAAAAATGACCCAAAAAAAAGAACTGAAAGAAGGGAACAGTTCTGGCAGCACATCTCATAGCAGAGGCTAAAGGGAGGCAGGACACGGTGGACGCGCACCAAGGTGTTTGAAGAGGTGAAAACGGCACAGAGCCCACTGAGGACTTAAGAAAAAACTTTCAAAGTCAAGTCCTCCGTCTGGGGAGGGTCAGCGTGTCTTACCGGCGGGAAGGCCTCCAAGGGGACCCGAGGATACGAGTGGGGACTGAGGGCTGATGGGATCACGGTGGGCGGAGGGGGCCGGCGGGGCGGGGCTTGTGGGGCGGGAGCGGCTTGCGAGGAAGGCCGGGCGCGCGCACCCAGCGAGGAAGGCCGGGCGCGCGTGTGGGCGCCGGCTCCTGGCTTCCGGTTTGGGGGCGGGTTGCGGGGGGCGGAGCTTGCTCAAAACTCCTCCCATTTGAAGCGAAGAGCGAGCTCTGTCCGGCGGGCGAGCGGCTTCCGGGGCTGTCTCCTCCAGACTGCCTACCTACGCTGCCCGCGGGCTAGAGGTGGGCGGGCATTGTGCGCTGGCGGCGCGCGCTCCCAAGTTGCCGGGAGACGGCGCGCGAATGGCTGCTCAGGGCTCGCGGCTCAGGCGACTCTAGGCCGCGGTGGCCCCCCCAGCCAGCTCGGCCAACGCGGCCGCCGCGGGCACCAGGTACTCAGCACGAGACCCGTTGGCAAAACAGAGAAAAAGGAAAAGGAAAGCATTGAAGTCTTTCATAAAATTCAATTGGTATAATGTGAACTTTCTTTTTCTTTTTTTCTTTTTTATTAAGGTATCATTGATATACACTGCTCTGAAGGTTTCACAAGAGAAACAATGTGGGTACTATATTCACCCATATTATCGAGTCCCTCCATACCCCATTTCCGCCGCTGTCCATCAGCGTAGCACGATGCCACGGAGTCCCTACTTGTCTTCTCGGAGCTACATTGTTTCCCCGTGACCCCACAGACACCATGTGCACCAAGCATAATACCCCTGAAACCCCTTCTCCCTCCCATACCCCTCCCCTTTGGTAACCCCTAGGCCCTTCTCGGAGTCTGTGAGTCAGCTGCTGTTTTGTTCCTTCAGATTTGCCTTGTTATACTCCACAAATGAGGGGAATCATTTGGTACTTGTTTTTCTCTGCTTGGCTTATTTCACTGAGCATAATACCCTCTAGCTCCACCCATGTTGTTGCAAATGGCAGGCTTTGTAATTTTCTTATGGCTGATTAGTGTTCCACTTTGTATTATGTACCACCTCTTCTTTATCCTTTCATCTACTGATGGACACTCATGTTGCTTTCATATCTTGGCTATTGTAAATAATGCTGCAATAAACATAGGGGTGCATATGTCTTTTTGAGTCTGGGATCTTGTTTCTTTGGGTAAATTCCTAGGAGTGGAATTCCTTGGTCAAATGGTATTTCTAGTTTGTTTTTTGAGGAACCTCCATGTTGCTTTCCAGAATGGTTGAACTAATTTACATTCCCAGTATCAGTGTAGTAGGGTTCCCCTTTCTCCGCATCCTCACTAGCATTTGTTGTTGCTAGCCTTTTTGAGGTTGGCCATCCTAAGTGGTGTGACGTGATATCTCTTTGTGGTTTTAATTTGCATTTCCCTGATAATTAGGAATGTGGGGGCATCTTCTCATGTGCTGTTGGCCATCTGAATTTCTTCTTTGGGGAAGTGTCTGTTCAGATCCTCTGCCCATTTTTTAATTGGATTATTTGCTTTTTGTTTGTTGAGGCATGTGAGTTCTTTATGTATTTTGGATGTTAACCCCTTATTGGATATGTCATTTACAAATATATTCTCCCATACTGTAGGATGCCTTTTTGTTCTACTGATGATGTCCTTGGCTGTAGCTTGATGTAGTCCCATTGGTCCTGTTGTGGGTCTCAGATCGGGCACGCTGGAGCAGGAGTAAGGAAACAGGTCCTCACAGAAAAGTAGATTATAAAAAGGGAGCCTTTATTTTAGCTGGCTGGCGTCTGCCAAGGAGCAAGCTCTCCAACTGCAGCCCCGAGCCTCTATTACAACATCCTTTTAAGCATTTTTACCGCATCCTGCTTAGTTTTTGCAACTTTTCCGCCTTCGCCTAAATTCAGCAAGCTATATTCCTCGTTCAATGCTCAGGGGGCTTAAGCATCCTGTTTTTCCCACTGTAAGAATAGAAATAGGTTAGCTTAAGCATAGCCATCTTAAAGGCCTAGAAGCCATTTTCTAAGTATGTGACTTAGAAAGAAAAACAAACTGGGTAAGGCCTTGAAAAACAAGTTAATCATGAACACCAGGTGGTGGGCAGCTGTAGCCTTTAGTCTGCTAACCTTGGTCAGCTAATCTTACATACCAAGCTTATCGTGCAGAACCTCCCTGACAATTGAGGAGTGGTCTTATCTTGCTCTTGCCTAACCCCAGGATGTATGTCTTGCAAGAATAATGTGCAGCTGTAGAAAATTACTATGAGTTAAGTGTTTTGAAAATGCTATATAAACCCTTGGCTTTGAGTGCTTGGGGTCCTTGTTGAAACCCGTTGCGTCGGGCTGACACTTGGACCCAGCTAGCTGGTTCCTGAATAAAGTCCTCTTGCTTGTTGCATCAAGAGACGTCTTCCGTGAGTGAATTGGGGTGGCGTTCGCATTTAGGCAGATCCAACACCACCTGCTGCAGGAAGTGTGTGATACTGCTGGTCTCTAACAAAGCAATGTACAGAAGCAAAAATAGCCTGGAGTTAGTTGAACATCCTTTTTCTCATGGGATTTATATCTTTTCCTTTAGTTTCTCAGAAGTTGGTAAGTGACTAGGGTCTGGGGCTAACTTTACAGAGAGCTTTGTGTCCTATTTTTATGTCTGAAACTGCTTCAACCCCTCACAGTCCATTGTTGCTTTTGTTTCCCTTACCAGAGGAGAAAGCGCGTGAACGGAATCTCCGGACTTGCGACTCACTCGCACCGCTCCTGTGGGAGTTCCAATGTCAGTGCCTGGGACAAAAATTATATCCACCCTTATGATGCCCTGAGCACCTTGACCATGTTTTTATGAACATTAACTCCAGGGTCCCAACAATGAGAAACGGGAGCATGGTGGCCCCACTGCACACACCCAGAGAGGAAGGCCAAGTTGCCCATCCACCTAAAATCTAACCTTATGGCTTTCTCCCCCAAGCTCCTATTGTGGGGCTGTCGGCTAGCACCACTGGATGCTGCCCTCTTGAGAGAGACAAGAGAACCTTTCTAGTTGCTCCTTCAGGAAGATTCACAGAAACAAGATCATAGGCTAAAGGACATAAACACCTGTCCAGCTCTTCTGAACTCCAGGAGCATTTCTCTGATGCGCTAACCCTGCCACTGTCGCCCTTGTTAGCGCTTTGGCAGGGTGTGTGTGCCTGTCTCACATGTGCCGTGGGGCTCAGTCTGCCCCTTCAGAACTGCCACACGGATTTGCTTTCAGCTTGTTTCTCCTGGGTGGGGACAGGACCGCAGGAGGCTGAGGAGGCTCCTCTGGCACTCCCCACGAGGAACGTGGTCTCCAGCCCTCATCCCCCAGCTGCCCTCGCTGAGCTGTTATGGGAACCCAAATGCCAGTCCAGATGCCCTGAGCACGACGGGCTCTGTTAGCCAGTGAAGTGGGTGTCGTGAAGCTGGGACAAAAGTGTCCTTGTGCTGCTGCGGGCCTGGGGCAGGGTGGTGGGAGGCACAGGCGGGCCTTCACCAAGGAGGCCAGGCCGGGAGAATAGTGATGGTGTCTGTTTTTCCTCGTTTAGCGCAGTCCTGGGAGCCAGGAACCCTGGGTGCACGCACTCATCCATCCATCCCGGGGGACTCCTGAGTGCAGATCCCGTACCCAAAATGAGAAACAGCCCGAAGGCTCCCTGATGGGGCTCAGGGCCGCCTGAGTGAGACAGAAGGGACCCAGATGCCCTTTGTCACCCTCTCCCAGCCCAGCAAACCCAGCCAGAACCCAGCGCAGGCGGCAGGCCCCGCCCACCGCACTCCAGGGCCTCCTCTTTCCTGAGCCACCTCCTCTCCTGGACCTACTCTCTGGTCTAGTTCACGGAAAATGACTCCGCCTCTCTCTCTCTCTCTCTCCCCCCCCACCCCCCGCTTCCGGGGTTCCGCACCCTGTGTGTGCCCCTCTCCCCCGCCCCCACCTCCCACTGCCCCGGGCGCACCAGACCCAGTAGCAGCTGGGGCTCGCAGGCACTGGCGAGCTGGAGCAGAGCCTGCTACAGGAGAAGGCACAGGCCCCGAGGCTGCTCCGAGAATTAGCAACAACAGGGTCACACGCTGCCGCCGCCTGCCACCGCCTTGGCCCCTTCACTCCCCTTCGGCCTCTCTGTTTTATTATTTTCTGTCTTTGGCTGCTCTCCTCATTGTTTTCTCCTTTTGCGCCCCTTCCAGGAGGGAGGTAGAGGGTTAGGAACGTGCTCAGGCTTCACTGCCACATGGTACTCGTTGGGGGAGGGGTCTTCACTGGCCAGCTCATGGTCCCACTGGCTGGGACTGTCCTGTGAGACCCTCCCCTTCCTCCCTCCCCATCCATTGCCTCGATGGGCTTTGTGTATGGCCAGAAATTGATTGCCTCTTGGGCACATTCTGCCCCAAATGTGGGCAGGCACGGGGACAGCCTGTCCACACCTGCCTTCTCCCCAGGCTGGGAAGTCAGGGACCGCAGACCCAGGTCTCTCTAGCCCAGGGGCTCTTAAATATGGTGGTAGGAGGGGCCAGCCTGAAGGACATGGGGTTCTGTGTCAGCCCTAGGGTCAGGCTGTTAAGATACAGTGGGTCAGGGCATGGGTCATAGGCCAGGAAAGCTCTGCTTGGGGGTGAGGTTCTGCTAAGCCAGGGCCTGGTTCTGAGTCCAGGCTCTGGGCCCAGCTGACCCCTTCATGTGCCAGGGCAGGCCCCTACATACATCCAAACAGCTGGCCAGCCACGCCCAGCACATAGCCCAGTTGTAGTTGTCTTGGCAAAGCAGCTAAACAGCCAGCAAGCAGTGATTGGTAAAAACCACCACAAACAGCATGTGCCTGGGAGGTGAGGTGGGCAGCAGTCAGTTTATGTAGGTCGGCCTTAGCCCACCTATGCACTGGTGTATGCACTGGCATCTGGGTCCCTTTGCATGCACTGGCCATTGCTGGGTGACCTCTTGGGCCTGCAGTAGTGTGTCGTGCAGTAGGCACGTGTGTGCATGAAGGCTGCTTGCAGAAATTGAGTGGCGGTGGGCAGGCGTTAGCCCTCCTCACGGGACATCTTGGGCTAGGGTTCAACCCGATTACAAAAACAAAAACAGGTTTGCTGAACTCTAAGGGTCACTTTCAGAAACAAAATTTTTTAAGCTTGTAAAAGATTTAAAACTTTTAAATATATTGCTTCCAAATCTATGGCCATTGACATGGTCCGAATGGGGTTTTAGAGGATGAAGCTTCTGATCTCAGGGTTTTCAATCAGAAGGTGGGTCTGGGAGCACGAATTTTGTTCTGCTTTAGGCATTAAACCCTTCCTTGGTCACGCCCTCCAGACGTGAATCAGCCCCTCTGATTCAACCCTGACTGTCTGGGGACCTTCCAAGAGCAGGACAATGCAAAATTCCATCACCTCTGCTCTTTAAAAATAGTATGAACCTAGAGAAAGCCATAACTCCTGGTTTGTCCAAGGCACCTCGGGCAGCAGGGAAAGCTGATTCCTTGAATCACTGGGGTACAAGCCAGGGAAGTCTTCCTGGAGGCTGTGGCCGGCAGGGCCACAGACAACCGGCACTCAGGTGGAGTTGAGCGCCCTTCCCTTCCTGTTGCCCTCCCTCACTGGGGCTGGGGCCCTTGGGGGGGAAGGCCCCATCTTGCCCCTATTGAGTCCCCAGACAGCCCACTGACCCCAGCCTCCCTCTCTCCCTGGTGGCTGACCACAGTGGCCAAGAAGTCACGGGTGCTGCAGCTGGAGGAGGAGCTGACCCTGCGATGCAGCGAGATTGAGGAGTTACAGCAGTGCTTGCTGCACTCGGGCCTGCCATCCGCCAACCACCCCAAGGCCGCCGAGACGCTGCGGCTGCAGGAGTGGCTGCTGTCGGCCAGCAAGGAGCACCAGAGGGAGAGCAGAGAGGGGTGCTGCGGGACAAGTACCAGAAGGCCCTGAGGGCCTACCAGGCGGAGGTGGAAAAGCTCCGGGTGGCCAACGAGAAGTACACGCAGGAGTGGAGAAAGGTCCAGCAGGCCACCAGCGAGAAATGGGGCTCATGGACAACTGGAAGTCCTAGCTGGACTCACTGGCCTCGGACCACCAGAAGTCCCTGGAGGACCTCAAGGCCACCCTGAACTCAGGCCCTGGGGCCCAGCAGAAGGAGAACAGAGAGCTGAAGGCTGTGATGGAGGGCATCAAGATGGAGGACCAGCTGGAGCTGGGCAACCTGCAGGCCAAGCACAACATCGAGACAGCCATGCACATGAAGGAGAAGAAGGGCCTGTGGCAGAAGCTGCAGGAGACCCAGAATGAGCTGCACAGGCTGCAGCAGCACTGGCAGGCCCAGCTGGAGGTCCAGGCCGGCCAGCACCAGATAGAGCTGCCAGAGGCCCAGGAGCAGTGCCGCGATGCCAAGCTGCGGGTGCATGAGCTGGAGAAGCTGGATGTGGAGTACGGGGGGTGGGCACAGGCCATTGAGTTCCTCAAGGAGCAGATCTCCCTGGCTGACAGGAAGATGCTGGATTACGAGGTGCTGCAGCGGTCTAAAGCCCAGAGCAAGCAGGAAGCCAAGAGGCTGTGGGAGAAGCTTCTGGTCGCCGAAAACAGACTCCAGGCTCTCGAGTCCCTGTGCTTGTCCCAGAACACCAGCATAAGCAGCCACCCATGCTGCTGGGTTGGGGTAGGGGGGTCCACGGGCTGCATGTGAGGGTCCAGCTGCGGAGGGCCTGGGTGTTTACTGGCCACTTTGTCCCAGACTGGGGAGGCATTCTCCTTGTCCCCAGGTGCACACCCGGGGGAGATCAGACGGCATCTGGCTCAGAGGAGAGCCCCTCATCCCTCCGTCAGTCAGAAGGGCAGCTGGGCCTGGTGACTGGGGTCCCAAGGTGGTCTGATCAGACCAGGCTGGGACCTCACAGGCCAGGCTGCAGAGAAGAACACGTTGGCACTGAGAACGGGTTTCTCCCACTCCCCGAGTCCCTGATTCACCCAGATGACTTCCTGTGGAGGGCAAGCCCCGTGCATTCCCTGGAGGCCTGTCTCCAGCACAAGTGCTTGGAGATGGTGCCCTTTCTGGCAGTCCTAATGAGACTGAGCAACAGTCCAGCAGCCACTTCCTCAGAGTGTGGGCATCCCCAGAGTGGGCTCTGGAAGGCTGGAGGTGGGTGGGCAGAGAGGCTGCTCCCACTAGTACCAGTTTTGCCCCAAATCCAGAAGGCTGAGGCCCTGGGTAGCGTGGGCTATGTCCACTCCAGCAGGGCCAGGAAGCCTTTGCTGCTTTTTGTTTCTATGGATTTGCTGATTCTACACATTTTCATATAAAGAACATCATATAATAGGTGGCTTTTTCTGTGTGGCTTCTTTTACTTAGCATAATATAGTGAAGGTTCTTCCATGGTGTAGCAATGTCAGTGCATCATTCCTGTTTAGGGCTGAGTAATAATCCATCACATGCACATGCCACAGTTTGTTTATCCATCCACCTGTGGATGACATCTGAGCTGTTTCCACATCTTTGGCTGCTGAAAACATGCATGTTTTTAGTGTGCATGTACAGGTACTTGTCAAATGCCTCTTTGGTGTCCTTTGGGGTGTATACCCAGGAGTGAAATTGCTAGGTCACGTGGCAATTCTATGTTTAACTTTTTATAGTTGTTGCCCAGCTCTCTTGTTTCTTCTTGCTTATTTTTCCATGTGATTTTAGAATCAGCTTATCTAGTTCCACAAAAATTAAAATCTTGTTAGCATTATGTTATATTGGTAGGTTAACTTGTGGAAAGTTAGTATGTTTCCAGCACTGACCATGCATTATCTTTTTTATGACTATTTGGAGGCCGTCAGTACTGAATACACAAGACTTTGTGACATGAGCACCATTTTTATTATCCTAACTTCCCAGTCAAGGAAGCTGACACTTTGAGATAAGTTGCCGAAGACTACACAGTATTGCAGCCTTTTGTTTAGAGTGGGTTACCCAGAGAGGGCTGGTGAGAATGAATTTGGACCAGTTTGGACCAATGAGCCCACGTGTAGCTGCGTTTTAGGGTTCCTGCAGATCGTCCCCTCGCCCACTGACCTAGAACGCTGATGGCCCTTTGTCTCTCCCTTTTCCCGGCTTCAGGACAAGCTAAACCAGAGAGACAAAGAGGTGACAGCCTTGATGTCCCAGACCTAGATGCTCAGGACCCAAGTAAGTGGTAAGTCTCTCTTGCGCAGGACAGATGGGGGGGCTTTCACTGGGGCCATGTGGCAGTCAGGTGTGGGGTGCGCTGGCACCTGGGTAAGGGCACCCTCTCCATGCTGCCTTGAGGAGAAGGTGACCTGGGCCAGTCCAGCTACCCTGGACTTCACCTGGGCTGCAGTAAGCGGGGACCAGGAACCCATACACATCCATCATATAATCAGGGCCTTGAGCTGGCTTCTTTCCCCAGAGCCAGCTCTAAGTTCCCTCTGCTCTGAAATTCCCTCACCATTTCTGTTCGGTCTTGAAGACTTTTTGGGTTCTCTAGGTCACCTTGATAGGGTATTTCATCAGCCCCCAGCCCCTAGAAGAAATACCAGGATTTCAGAACTGGAGGGACGGATGCTCACAGCAGCAGAGAGCAAGACACAGGGAAGATGAGGACAGAGGGGGAGCCTGGGGAGAGGCGGGGGTCTGGAATGTGTGACTTTGTGACAAACTGTCCCTGCTTCTTGTCCGCCAGAGTGCCAGTGGTGGTGTCCGTGAGATGACCCCCATCCTGGGAACCGGTTCCCACCCCAACTCCTCTCCCATTCCCATCACGTTCACATGGCATAATTGGTCCTGACAAAGGTAGTTGGCCTCAAACTCCTCGGAGGCCAAGGTGAAGATTTAGCTTTTCCTTGTCCAGGAGCAGTGTAGGTGCCAGTTCCGTCTCGGGGAGGGTGGACTGCTTCCCCTGCCCCCGAGGGCCTGGGCTGCTGTGCTGGGGGGCTCAGGTCTGCTTTTGTAGCTCATCCCTCAGCCCCTGGCTGCCTGGTTCTGCAGAATGAGAGAGATGCACTCCGTGGAGTGTGTCACTGTGACCCCTGGGAAAACAGGCTCCCTGCCCAGGTTTGGCCCTCTGGTGGGACAGACTCCCATGACTGTTCTGCCCTCTCTCTGCTTTCCCTGCTGGCTGACCCTCAGCACTGGTGAGCAAGTGTAAGTCAGGAGAGAAGAAGGTGGACACCCTGCGGAAGAAGTGGCACTTGGAGGCAGAGCTAGAGGCCGTGTCCCGGAAGACCCACGATGCCTCGGGCCAGCTGGTCCTCATCAGCCAGAGCTGCTCGGGAAGGGGCAGTGAGTCAGCCATGGGCTTGGTGGTCACGCTTGCTGGCCGTGCCCCTCACTCCACCTGACATTAGCCAGTCTTTCCTAGAGCAAGGGGGAAGGGCCACATTGTACAGGTGGTTGGCATGACCAAAGATCGCCTAAGTGCCAATGAAGCCTCAGAATCCTTCTTAACACAAGAGAGTTTATAGGAAACCCCCAGGAGAGATTATAGGAAAGATTAGTGGTTCCCAAACTTCTTGGTCTCAGGGAGCCCTTTAAAAAGATTATAAGAGTTTTTTTTTAAACTCTTAAAAGTTATTGGGTATTTCCAAAGAGCTTTTGTTTACTTATTCTATACTTATATTGTAAATTAAAACTGAGGATTTTTAAAATATCTATTAAGCCATTTAAAAATAATAATACTAATAATTGCATGTAACATAAACAATACACTTTGGGGGAAAAGTGCTTTCTAAAACAAACATGGTTTAGTTGGAACAATAGCATTGCTTCACATTTTTGCAGATTTCTTGAGCGTTGGGCTTAGTAGCAGACAGCGGGAGTCTCCTCTCTTCCTCTGCATTTAATCGTTGCAACTTGTTATTTTGGTTGAAGGATATTATGAGAATGTGGCCTTACAGAAATATGTAGTTGGGAAAGGGAGGAATGTTTTAATATCCTTTTCAGATAATTATTAATATGCTATGCAGTCACAGGAAAAATTCATTGTACACTCATGAGAAATGACTGTGGAAAGTTCCGTGATTATTATGAAAATAGTTGTGACCTGTGGACCCCCTGGAAGGGTTTTAGAGACCCCTGAGGGGTCCCCAGACCATATTTTGAGAACCTCTGGGTTATAGTCAATGACATGGTTTGTGTGACCTATATGAGGCTTTGAAAAAAACAGGCTAGCGTTTAAAAACTGGTAGATTTCCTATAAAATCCAGGTTTCTCCAGATTTCCTTAAAAAATTGGAAGGTCTGACAACAGTAGGCTGACTTCCAGCCAAGCAACAACCAGCCGTTGCTGGGGAACACTTGCTCCCTTTCGATGGGCGTGGGTCCTCTGGGCTTCCTCCGTCCCCCACTTGCCTTCATTATTTCTCTCACACCTACTTTGTGGACATGATTCCCCAGACCCTGTAAGCTCTTGAGGTTCAACCCGAGTTAAAGGAATCTCAGAGTACGAGCTTCTTTTTATAAAGGAAATGCTGTCTCCTCCCCTCTGTAAGTGTGATACACACTTTGGGGTTACTATGACATTCTCTGGAGAACACGGCCCAGCCTAGGAGGGAGTTAAACAGATGCAACAGGCTACTGGGAATATTCTCTCCCTAGCATGGGTGAGCCAGCAGCTGCTGCCGCCAGGGCTCCACTGCTGTCTTGCTCCTCATCCCCTCCCCCATTCAACTTGGATAGTTTATCGTTTGTGTTCAGCCCAGTCTCACCTCCTCTGAGGAGTCTGTCTTTCTGTTAACAAACAGGCTCATTCCTGCCTATGTCTGTTATCACTCATGCAATTTCCACTTCCCGGAATACCTTCTTTTTGGTCACTTTACCAAATCCAGTACACTATTTAAGGTTTTCCTCACAGCTCAGCTTTTCCTTACAGCCTTCCTTTGTTTGTATAGGCCACCCTGAGTCCCTCCATGCTCCCATGGCACTCAGGATGTCAGTGGGAGATCAGCTAGAAATTTGTTGGCAGATTAAATTTGTAGAGATTTATTTTCCTCATGTAACAAGAAATCTGGAAGTAGCATGGCTGGCAATTAGCTATGGCTCAAGATACCAGTACCAACACATTTGTGTTTCCCTTAGACTCTTCCTCATGGTTGTAAGGTGGCTGCTGAAGCTCCAGCCATCATCATATTTATAGCAGGGAGAAGGAGAAAAGAGAAGGGGCAGTGTCAGCAGATACCCACTTGGTTCTCAGTTACCCATGGCCACCTAGTCAAGGAGTTCTCCTTTCTTCTATAGTAGATGCAGGCAAGAAAAAGGCTTAGAAGGGGTATGTCCTCTTCTTCCATCCTGTGTCCATGGAAGACAGTGCTAACTGATCACTGCCCTCTTTTCTGCAGAGCCCAAACACGGCCTCAGAATCATTCTCATCACGGTATCCCAGGCAGGCTACTGCCAGTTGGTGAAGAGCTGACATGGGATATTAAATCCATTGGACATGAGGCCTTTAAAATGTTTTGCTGCACAGGCTCTCTTGAATGAATGTTTTGATTTGTTTAATTTTTAGTATACTCTTTTTTAAAGCCTTTAAGACATTCCCGGAAAGGCCAAGTCCTCTTGACCATCCTATCCCCAAACCCTGGCCCCTCTGGGGCTGTAGTCAAGTTGTTCCATGCTTCATATTTCCACTCTGGCCCCTGCTGGCACATAGATGTCATCCTAACAGCCAGTGTCCCCTTCAGGGTGGCAGTCCCCAGGCTCCTGGAAAATCGCTGGAGAGTGGGGGCGGAGAGGCCAGGGCTGACCGTAATGCTCTGTGCCCCCACCAGGAGCCTGAATGAACTTCGAGTGTTGCTGCTGGAGGCCCGTCGCCACTCCCCAGGGCCCAGGAGGGACCTGAGCTGCGAGGTTCACAAGGCCGAGTGGCGGATCAAGGAGCAAAAACTCAAGGATGACATCTGGGCCTGTGTGAAAAGCTGACCGGGCTGGTATGTGGGGAAGGGGTGGCTGGGGATGGGGAATGCCAGGGTGGGCTGGGCTATCTGCTGTCAGGCCATGGGGACTGGTGACCTCCTGGAGCCACCCCCAGGGACAGCCACATCATAGTGAGGGTTCAAAACCCCCTAGAACCACAAGCAGGGCCAGCAATGTATCTGGTGGGGGCCACATGCAGCCCTTTGCAGGTATCGTGGCTGGCTTGGTGATGCTGTTCTAAGGAAGACTTCCTAGGAATCTAGCCCGTCCTGAGGTGGCGTGTGAGCTCCCCCTCTGGGGACATAATCAGCCATAAACCAGCTCCTCGTTTGGGGTCCTGCAGTGGGGATTCACACATCGGTCTCAGGAAGGCGCCTTGAGAGCCTCCCCTGGCCCTGAGGTTCTGGGAGTGAAACTCCTTTGCCATCAGGAACAGGAACCTGGGGGAGCTGAGTCCCCAGAGGTGGGGCTGGGGTAGGTGGGGACACCGGTAGCAGGACAAACCCTTCCGCACCCTGTCCCCTGCAGTCGGCCCTGAGGACAGCCCCATGGCCACTTGCTGGGCCTGGTCAACTCTGGGGTGTGGATGGGATCATAAGATCCGGGAGGACCGACCCTCACTGCCCTCCAGCCCAGCCATATGGGCTTAGCTGTACTGGAGGTGATGGAAGAAGCCTCGGGCAGGAGGCGGGGACAAGATCCGCCACAGCCATGGGAGCAGGCCCTGGGCCTGCAGGGTTAAGGGATAAGGGGCGTCACTCTGGCTACACACCCAGATCGTCCAGGCAGGTCTGGTCAACAGGGCTGGTCCCAGGGCCTCTGTGGCCTGTCTGGGCACACTGTGGGAGAAGACAGGCCCAGGGGACTTGAGAGCATGGAATCCCTGAGACTTTTCCAGAGACCTGGGGGGTGGGGGGTTGACAATGTGGCACTGACTCACCTCTGGGGGCACAAGCTGGTCAAAACCACCCGAGGGCAGCCACTCCCTTGTCTTCCTGCATTGTCCCCAGTGCTGTGGGAGATCCAGGGAAGGGCTTTGTGGTTAGAAACTTCCAGAAGTGAAGAAGGTTGGGTGGAGAGGAAGCTTCGGATGGAGGGGCAGAGCAGAGCAGAAGGACCTAGAAGCCCCTGGCCAAGGGGCTGCTGTGGGGGGGCTTGAGCCGCTGGTACTGAGTGTGCTGTTGGGCATGGGGAGGGAGGGTTCATTTGGGCCCGAGGGTAAGAGGTGGTGAGGCTGGGGGTGTGGGACTGAGGAGGAGGTACCCCCATAAAGTAGAGGGAGGGGGGTTGGGGAGGCACACACAGGAAGGGAAGGGGGTGCATGGATTTCAGCACTTGGAGAATGTGGAGCATCTGACAGGCTGGGAAGGCAGGCAGGGGACAAAGGAGATGCCTCGGTGGGGACCTCTGGTCGGGAGGAAGCCTGAAGTGACGTCCTGGAGGTGCTCAGGCCTGGCCCAGAGGTGAGGCGGGCCAGGAGAGTTTGCCGCCTGGAGCAGAGGCCTCCCTGCCCCAGGCTCACCCTCACATCTTCCTCTCTCCTGCTGCTCCCAGGACAAGGAGAAGTCCCTGTCGGATCAGAGGCGCTACTCCCTCATTGACGCATCGGCGCCCGAGCTCCTGTGCTGCAGCACCAGCTGATGAGCACGGAGGACGCGCTGCGGGACGCCCTGGACCAGGCTCAGCAGGTGGAGAAGCTCATGGAGGCCATGAGGAGCTGCCCCGACAAGGCCCAGGTGAGCGGGGGCAGGGCTGGGCTGCCCAGGTGGGGAGCCCCGAGGCGGGGAGTGTGGCCAGGGAAGTCTGGTCTGAACTCTGCCCAGGGGCAACATGGCTTCATCTCGCGGAGCTCAGACTAAAGGGGAAGATGCAGCCTTGCTCTGAGAACCTTGGTCTTCGTGGTCCCCGGGGGTCCTGGGAGATCCCCATTCTGAGGAGCTCTGGTCAGAGTTTGGAGCCTCAGCTGGTTCCGTCAGGAAGACCTTGCCATCTAGTGGACAAAGTAGGAACTGCTGCTGCCTGGCAGGCCTGGCTCAGCATCTGCCCATGGCTCTTAGAGGCAGTCGGCAATTCCAGATCTGCAAGCGGCATCCACTAGCAAAACAAAGCCCAGAAACAAGAGGTAAGGGCTGCCTGGCCCCAGGAAGGCGCCCTGCCCCACCCACAGCCCTCCCTCACAGGCAGACTCTTGTGTAGGGAAAACCCTGAAAAGCCACCAAAAATACAAGGATTCCTTATGCAAGAGGCTTTACAATAGAGTCCCTCCTGGAGAGGGGACAGTGCAGTCAAACTTGATTAAATTATTATCCTGCTCTTTATTTTTAACTTTGCTTCTCTTAAAAAAAAAAACTTTTATTATAAAATAATACATACGTACGAGGAAACTTGGAAAAAAGAAACCCACAAATTTCATAAAGAAGGACAAGTAGCCCTCCCAAAGTCGACCATGGTTAGCATTTTTAGGTGCTCTTCCTGAAGCTTGCTATGCGTGTGTGTGTGTGTGTGTGTTCACATACGGTCAATCCTCATTATTCACAGATTCTATAATTGCAAATTTAACCTATGTGGTCAAATGTATTTATAACCCCAAAATCTATCCTCAGGGCACTCTCATGGCCATTCATGGACATGAGTGGAAAAAAGAAAAATTTGCATCAACGTCCATGTTCCCAGATGAGGTTGGCCAAAGTGATGTTCTGCCTTCTTGTTTCAGCTTTCACACTATAAACAAGTATCCTTTTCACAGTCCACATAGTGCCATGTTTTTTTGCGTTTCCATGCTTTGCGTGGTGGTTTCGCTGTTTAAAATGACCCCGGAGCCCAGTGCTGAAGTGCCATCTACTGTTCCTAAGGATGAGAAGGTCGCGGGGTGCCTGGTGGAGAAACCTCCACCCTCCAAGACCTTCGAGTGCTGCTTGGTTCTCCCGTCAAGTGATCCAGTCCAGGTTTTCTGGGTTTCTGTAACAATACTACTATTACTGCTGTGTATAACATCGTTACTGTTATACATATATGTAGGGAAAAAACATACCATTACAGTTACTTAGACTAGAAATGGGCTGATTTTATACATTACACTTGGTGCTGGTACATTTTTTCTTTCCAAGTGTCAATTCTATAGCATACTGTTGATTCTGTTGTAGTTCTGAAGTGCTTATTGGAAATTTCTATATTAACGTTTTTACATACTCTTGACCTATGAGGCCACTGAAGCACAGAGGCTTGAAAAGGAAAAACAAGTAATCTTTTCTCCAAAGAGCTCATGCAGCCAACCACTGCAAGAGCAAGAAATAGTCAGCAGTTAGAACACTCCATGTACTCAGAGCCTCAAATTTTGTACTTTGGTGAGGCATTACTCCCCCCCTCCCCCACTGTCTATTTGGGAATAGGATTAAAAACACATACAAAATATCACAGCTGCAAAGAACAGAGTCCCTATAAGTGTATACATTTGTTGGGTTTGCTAGAATGAATATTGGGATAATCAGTTTTAACAACATACAATAAGAAGTCCATTTGCCTACTATTATGAACATGAGCATTATAGCATTCTAAATTAAGAACATTTGGCTCAAAAGATTATGACTGAGGCTAAATCAGTTTACTAATAATGTGGCAGAAATGGCTGTGCTGGGAAATTCTGTGGAGGTAATTCTACCCACATTCATAGGACCACAATAATATATACTCGGTGTTTTACCACAGAATTAGTCAATGATGTTGATAAGACAAGCTTTCTTCACTGCACTGTAAATAAGGATCATCATGTTTCAATCCAAAGGGACTATCTGAGGACAAGATTAGTCCAAAGGAGGGGATATTAACTTTTTTCTTTTGAGAAATGTACTGCTATTTTTTCCCATTTAATCTTTGTAGGTGGAAACATTAACAACAGCCCTCAACCTCTGGCAAGGAAAGGCAGGAATATAGGGAATTAGGTGCTCACATTGCCACATCAGCAGTCTGTCAGCTGTTAGTGATTCTTGATATTCGTCATAGGCCATTGTCTTTCAGTGAAGCTTTCTGAATTCACTTCCATAGAGAGAATATGATTTTCTTCTTAAAAACTGAGTTTTTTAACTTCTGATAAATTTATATTGTAAATAGCATTTTCTTTTTGAGATTTTTTTTATCAAAGTATCATTGATATGCAATCTTATGAAGGATTCACATGAACAACATTGTGGTTTCAATATTCAACCATATTGTCAAGTCCTCAGCACCCCCATTGCAGTCACTGTCCATCAGCATAGTAAGATGCTATAGAGTCACTACTTGTCTTCTCTGTGCTTGTACTGCCTCCCCTGCCACCCACCTATATTGTGATTGTGAATTATAGGGCCCCTTCATCCCCTTCTCCTTTCCTCCCCACCCACATTCCCCAACCCCTCGCCTTTGGTAACTGCTAGTCCCTTCTCGTAGTCTGTAAGTCTGCTGCTATTTCGTTCCGTCCATTTTGCTTTGTTTTTATACTCTACAAATGAGTGAAGTCATTTGGTATTTGTCTTTTCCACCTGGCTTATTTCACTGAGCATAATTCTTGGAAATATTTTAAATTCAGTTGTCAGTGAGAAGCTGAGCTCCAAACTTACTGTGGAAAGTTGGGTAGTTTAATAACCTGGCTAAGCCTTTAGAGTCTTCCTCAGGGTTATTGCAAAAATTAGTAGCAATTTAGAAAAAGTATCAAACAGGGGTGATGCGTGTAGTAAGCCTGCAGTACATGTTATGCCATCATTATTCTTGCAAAGGACACCTCAGGCTGTCCTGAGAAAGGAGAAATACCCCCTGTATTCTTGAGGCAGCAACAACTTTTATGGACTCAAGTTTTCCTAACCCTGATTCAAAAGACACTGTCCTTCCACGGAACCAGATTTAGGCTGCTTTTCCCTCCTGAGCTCCTCTTTTCTCTGCAGGAGTGCTCACTGGCACCAACTTTTTTTTTTTTGGTATCATTAATGTACAATTACATAAGGAACATTATGTTTACCAGACTCCCCCCTTCACCAAGTTCCCCCCACTACCCCATTGCAGTCACTGTCCATCAGTGTAATAAGATGCTGTAGAATCACTACTTGTCTTCTCTGTGTTGTACAGCCNCCCACCCATCTTCCCCAGTCCCTTTCCCTTTGGTAACTGTTAGTCCATTCTTGGGTTCTGTGATTCTGCTGCTGTTTTGTTCCTTCAGTTTTTCTTTGTTCTTATACTCCACATACGAGTGAAATCATTTGGTACTTGTCTTTCTCCGCCTGGCTTATTTCACTGAGCATAATACCCTCTAGCTCTTTCCATGTTGTTGCGAATGGTAGGATCTGTTTTTTTCTTATGGCTGAATAATATTCCATTGTGTATATATACCACATCTTCTTTATCCATTCATCTACTGATGGACACTTAGGTTGCTTCCATTTCTTGGCTAATGTAAATAGTGCTGCGATAAACACAGGGGTGCATATGTCTTTTTCAAACTGGGTTGCTGCATTCTTAGGGTAAATTCTTAGGAGTGGAATTCCTGGGTCAAATGGTATTTCTATTTTGAGTTTTTTGAGGAACTTCCATACTACTTTCCACAATGGTTGAACTAATTTATATTCCCACCAGCAGTGTAGGAGGGTTCCCCTTTCTCCACAGCCTCACCAACATTTGTTGTTGTTTGTCTTTTGGATGGTGGCAATTCTTACTGGTGTTAGGTGGTATCTCATTGTGGTTTTAATTTGCATTTCTCTGATGACAAGCGATGTGGAGCATCTTTTCATGTGTCTGTTGGCCATCTGAATTTCTTCTTTGGAGAACTGTCTGTTCAGCTCCTCTGCCCATTTTTAAATTGGATTATTTGCCCTTTGTTTGTTGAGGTGTGTGAGCTCTTTATATATTTTGGATGTCAATCCTTTATCGGATCTGTCATTTATGAATATATTCTCCCATACTGTAGGATGCCTTATCGTTCTATTGATGGTGTCCTTTGCTGTACAGAAGCTTTTCAGCTTGATGTAGTCCCACTTGTTCATTTTTGCCTTTGTTTCCCTTGCCTGGGGAGATACGTTCATGAAGAAGTTGCTCATGTTTATATCCAGGAGATTTTTGCCTATGTTTTTTTCTAAGAGTTTTCTGGTTTCATGACTTACATTCAGGTCTTTCATCCATTTTGAGTTTACTTTTGTGTATCGGGTTAGACAGTGATCCAGTTTCATTCTCTTACATGTAGCTTTCCAGTTTTGCCAACACCATCTGTTGAAGAGACTGTCATTTCCCCATTGTATGTCCATGACTCCTTTATCGTATGTTAATTGGCCATATATGTTTGGGTTAATGTCTGGAGTCTCTATTCTGTTCCACTGGTCTGTGGGTCTGTTCTTGTGCCACTACCAAACTGTCTCAATTATTGTGGCTTTGTAGTACACCTTAAAGTTGGGAAGCGAGATCCCCCCTGCTTTATTCTTCCTTCACAGGATTACTTTGGCTATATGGGGTCTTTGATGGTTCCATATGAATTTTAGCACTATTTGTTCCAGTTCATTGAAGAATGCTATTGGTATTTTGATAGGGATTGCATTGAATCTGTTGATTGCTTTAGGCAGGATGGCCATTTTGACAACATGAATTCTTCCTAGCCAACAGCATGGGATGAATTTCCATTTATTAGTGTCTTCTTTAATTTCTCTTAAGAGTGTCTTGTAGTTTTCCGGGCATAGGTCTTTCACTTCCTTGATTAGGTTTATTCCTAGGTATTTTATTCTTTTTGATGCAATTGTGAATGGAATTGTTTTCCTGATTTCTCTTTCTGCTAGTTGATTGTTAGTGTAAAGGAGTGAACAGATTTCTGTGTATTAGTTTTGTATCCTGCAACTTTGCTGAAATTGGATATTAGTTTTAGTAGTTTTGGAGTGGAGTCTTTAGGGTTTTGCATGTACAATATCATGTCATTTGCAAATAGTGACAGTTTGACTTCTTCTTTACTAATCTGGATGCCTTGTATTTCTTTGTTTTGTCTGATTGCCATGGCTAGGACCTCCAGTACTATGTTGAATAGCAGTGGGGAGAGTGGGCATCCCTGTCTTGTTCCCAATCTTAGAGGAAAAGCTTTCAGCTTTTCACTGTTAAGTATGATGCTAGCTGTGGGATTGT